CCTCACTACCCACTCAACTTTGTTATTTCTCTTTGTTTCAAAAAGGGAAAACAACAAAACTAAAACCAAAACAGACAAACTGTCTCAGGTAGGGTTTTCATTGCTATGAAGTGACACTGTGACCCTGGCAGCACTGACAAAGAAAACATTTAATTGGGGTGACTCACCTATAGTTTCAGAGGTCCATTGTCATCATGATGGGACCATGGTGGCCTTCAGGCAGACATGGTGCTCAAGCACCTGAGAGTCCTACATCTTGTAGGCAACAGGAAGTCGTCGGACTGTCACACTGAGGGAAGCTTGAGCAAAAGAGACCTCAAAGCCTTCTTCCAATAAGGCCACACCTCCTAATAGTGCCACTCCCTTTGGGGTGGCCACTTTCTTTCAAATCACCACACAAATAAGAAAGAAAATAAGACAAAAATATCAAAACAACAACAAAAAAAGTACACAAAAACCATGGAGTCCAGTCCTACTACTATTATCTGCTGAAGGAACATAGCAATAATAAAACTCCTACTGGCATACTACTATACCAATAGTTCAGTGCCTTGCTTCTCCGAGGAGACTATTATCTGCTGAAGGAACATAGCAATAATAAAACTACTGGCATACTACTATACCAATAGTTCAGTGCCTTGCTTCTCCGAGGAGAAGCACCTTCTTGCAGTAGATGGTAAATAACAGAGATCCATAACTGGAATCCACAACTGGACAATGCATAGAATGAGAGTTGTCCCTCAATTTCTCCCACCTCCCACCCCCCTTCTTATTTTCTGTTCTCCCTTGTCAAGCCCTGTCCTTCTCAAAGGCAAAATAAACTGTCTGTCATGCACAGCAAACCCTGCCTTTAGCTGCCTCCAGGCCTTAGAACCCACATTAACACCTGCCTATATACTTTTTCCATCGAGTTTTCTTTAAAAAGACTTATGGGACCAGCTGTCCATATAATAGTGATTTTTCTACCTAATTATATACTAAAGAGGTTCCATTTTTGTCATTGTTTGCCTGTTTGATTTTTTAGATTCATACATGTATATAAAGTTTCATGCATGTATATAAAGATGGTAGTCATTTTCACCCCTACTTTCCTGCCAAACCTCCCTTCTACTGTCATGTCTTGTTTGTGCAGACATACAAAAGAAAATGATAATTTTTTGGATTGGATGTTCAAATATGCAGGGTTCTGCTAGGCCATGAGCATTGTACTTGCCAGTTTCTATATGGCAGCTATCACACAGGACTTTTTTCTGTGCTCTTTGGGCCTTGCTCTGTTATAAGCAGGAGGCTGCTTTGCTTTCAGGTTTGCTGGAGCTGAAATTGCGTTCAGCCTTGTGCCCTTACAACATTTGTGTTAACTCTTCAGTACTACTTCATAGAATTGCTATATTATACCAGTAAAACCTCCATCGTTATGTCCCAGAAGATGGCCATTCCCCTTTTATGGGTCCTTATTGGTAAAAGAATGTCTAAGATAATTTGATAAGACAGTCATGAAAATACTTTTTTTAATCTAGGTGTGAAGGAATTACAAGTCCAGAAGGCTCCAAATCCATAGTAGAAGGAATCATAGAGGAGGAGGAAGAAGATGAAGAAGGAAGTGAGTCAGTAAACAAGAGGAAAAAGGAAGATGACATGGAAGTGAGTAAAGATCTCATCCTTGGAAAGACGGAGGGCAGAGGGGAAGCAGAGACAGCACTGTTACTGTTGTCAAATTGCAGGCTCTAGGGGGCAGAGACACTGGTAAGAGATGATCAGGTGGAGGGCACTACCACTGGGCTCCAGTTAGAACATAAAACTTACCTGTATGTTTCCGTCAGAGTGCCTCCTCCCTTCTGTATATATAGTCTGTATATATTAGACTTGGTTTCTCTTCAGGTTAAAAGAAAAAAAAAAAATCTCAGTTCCAGTCTGTATCCTGTGGCTGTCCAGCTCTTACCGTCTTTCCAGACTTATCTCCTAGAACAAGCTTTCTGACCTCATTGTCAGTCCATCTGCATTATGGACTTGCAGTGATATGGCACAGTGTAACACTTGGAGTTGTGTGTTTTAAGTCCTCTGATTGAGGCACATTTAAAGATGCTGTGGACTCCTGGTTGTTAGTGCTGACTCCTGTTGTCTTCTAATTATATAGAAATCATTTCCTAAGAAAACAAATTATGTTAAGTTCATATCTGTATAAGTGGTGAGTTCTGGTGGGGCAATCTGTTTGAGGCTAGTGCTGGAAGTGCAGCTTTGCAGAGTAGGTTAATGACTTTCTAAGGCATATTGTAAGCGTTTTCTTAGTGGCAGGTAATATTGGTGTTACCATACACTCCTTTGCCTCCAGGGATGTTTTGTTTTGTTTTGTTTTGTTTTTTGAGACAGGGTTTCTCTGTGTAACAGCCATGGCTGTCCTGGAACTTGCTGTGCAGACCAGGCTGGCCTTGAACTCAGAGATCCACCTGCCTCTGCCTCCTGAGTGTTGAGATTAAAGGCATGTGCCAACACTGCCTGGCTTTTAAAGTATTTTTTATTTAATGAGGATCTTCCTGTCATCCTTGAGATCACTGATCAGAATAGTGCTTTATACTACGTTAGAATTTACAAGCATATAAATAATTTTTCATCTGTTTGGGCCTTGCAACACATTGTAAGGTGAAGAGGGATTTCCCTCTCATTACAACATAGTAGAATCTTCACTCATAAATTAGACTTGGGAGTATGAGGCAGAGGGATGACAGATTCAAGGCCTGCTTGAGCTGAGCAATTCAGAGAAACTGGTCTTAAAAATTACAAGAACAAGGAAAGTGAAAAGAGCCAGGCATGTAACTCAAGGGACACAAGCATGCTGAGGCCCTAGGTCATCCCTAGTACCTCTCTCTCTGTCCACCCACAATGAAGAGGTCTGCCCAAGGAAATTAGCAAACAGTAGCTTTGGAATCAAGGCAGTGAGTTACATTTGTCTTTCATGTGCTGTTTCACACTTAACCATCACTAGTTATTATTGTAGAGGTACCCTTGGTACAGATACCCACTCACTCATAGTCACACAAAAAAAATTAAAGCAGGTCTTTTAGATGCTCCTGATTTTTAATGCCTATTCTTTGTTCTTGGCAGTGTTTTAAAATAAGCACCATTGTATGATTTTGTAAACTCCAGAAGTGTGCTTGAGGGGGCAAGTGCAGTTATTAAGCAATGACCATCCATAAGCAGTGACTCCCCATTTCTCCTAGCCAAGACAATCACTAATCTGAAGATTTGCTTAATCTGAACATTACATATAGATGGAATTGTATAGCATGATCTTTTGTGCCTGGCTTCTTTTACTGGATGACAGACTTTTTAAGGTTCATCCGTGTTGCTGCATACATCATACATCGGTGTTTTCTTTATATGTCTGAAAAATATCCCATTGTATGAATATGCCACATTTTAATATATTCATCAATTAATATGTAGATTTTTATAGCTGTTCATTATAAATAATATTACTGTGAATATCCATTTCAGCCTTGTATGTGGACATTTTTTTTTTCCTGAGGTGTATACATGAGCAGGGAATTGCTAGGTGAAGTGGGAACTGTGGGAATTCTGAGAAAATGGTTTTCAGAAGGCTGTAACACTTTTCATTCCTATTAGAGGGAATCCTGGTGGCTATAAAATAGTATCTCATTGTGGGAGGTTTGGGTTTGGTTGGTTTGATTTTTGTAAGATAATGTTTAGTCCAAGCTGGTCTCAGACTAGCAATTCTCCTGCTTCAGATCCAGAATACTTGGATGACAAGCAGATGCCGCCACACCAGGCTCATGTTTACATGTTGCCTGTTGCTGTTGGGAGGTTGAGGCAGGAGGCTCATGTGAGCCAGAAGAAAACAAATAGGAATAGAAAAGAAGCCATCAGATTATCCAAAAGTAGAAGTCAAGACAGCCTGCAGCACTGTAGGAAGGTCCTCGAGAAGTGCAAGTCCCCTTCCTTCCTTCCTTCCTTCCTTCCTTCCTTCCTTCCTTCCTTCCTTCCTTCCTTCCTTCCTTCCTTTCCACAGACACGCTTTCTGCCCTGCTCCTCAGGGGTTGCCCTAAGACTCACTTTGCTTTTATTCCTGCAGACCAAGAAGGACCATCCATACACCTGGAGAATTGAACTGGCAAAAACAGAAAAGTACTGGGATGGCTGGTTTCGGGGATTATCCAATCTCTTTCTTAGTTGTCCTATTCCTAAACTGCTGCTCTTGGCTGGTAAGTGAGTGTGTGTGTGTGTGTGTGTGTGTGTGTGTGTGCTAAACACGTGTGTTTAGCTGGAATGATCAAATACCATAAATTGGATGGCTTAAAGAACTGAAATCTAATTTCTTACAGTCTGGGGGCTGAAAGTATAAGATCAGAGCATGAGTCGAGTTAAGTTCTTAGAGTTCTCTTCCTGGTTTGCAGACCTCTCTGTGCTTTTATATGGCTAGGAGAAAGCAAGACAGCTTTCTGGATCTTGCAAGGACACTAATCTTACTGTGTCAGAGACCCCCACCCTTATAACCACATATTGCCTTTTTGTAGACCCTATTGTCAAATACACTGGGGGCTAGGGCTTCACCATGAATTGTGTTTAGTCCATAGAAGTGTGAGTGAGTACTGTCATCTAGATGTGAAATGAGGTTTAAACACCCTCCAGTGCTGCATGGTGTTGACCTAGCCTTTGTACCCAGAGCTACAGACAGTGCTGTAACAACATTCTGAATACTGTGAGAATTGAGACAGTAAAATCTTGTTTTCATCTCTAAATGAGCATGATTGGAGCTGGAGTTAAGAATATTTGTTACTCTTACAGAGAACCAGATTTGGTTCCCACCACCCACATTGTGGCTCACAGCCATCTGTAACTCCAGTTCTAGGGGATCCAACACCCTTTCCTGACCTCTACAGGCACCAGGTACATAAGTGGTACACATGTATACATTCAGGCAAATACTCACATACGTAAATGAAATAATGAATCTAAGAAAAACCATAATTACCCAGAAATCTCAACTTGAAATTTTCATCTGGTGAGAATATACATGTGCCAGTCTGGATTGAGCGTGTTTATAACTCTGAGGCAGCATTTACTCAGTGAAACCTATTTCCCAAGGCCTTTTCTAGGAGTTACTCACAGATTCTCCTGTTTTGTTCTAGGTGTTGATAGATTGGATAAAGATCTTACCATAGGCCAGATGCAGGGTAAGTCATCCAGAAATTGTGCCCATGGATCCTTTTCTGAGGGCAGGGAAGTGGGTAGTTATATGAAGATTGATATTCTGAGATAGTGAGGTACAGTGGAGAGAGCTTGAACTTATAGTTGCGCCGCATTGGACAGCCACCTCTTCCAACCACCAGTCGATTATGGGCAAGTATCTTCCCCTTTCTGAAGAGTGATGCCCCCCCCACACACACACACGCACACGCACACTCGCGCGCGCACACACACACCTAAAAATGAGTTATTACTCTAGCTGTTTCCAGGATGGAAGAGTTCAAATGAGGTGATGCGCCTGAGAGTTATTAAGTATTACATAGGCATCTAACATAGTGAACAGCCATAATTTTCTAGTGTTTTCTTATGTTCAGAGTTTCTAGAAAAGAGAAATTGTGTGAATACCCGATAGTGTGGTCCTTTAGAAGACATCATGGTGAGGAGGGAGAGGGGGCTTCAGTTCGGGGGTGAGATTTAGACCCTGCTCTCCTAGTAATCTGTGTCAGCTGGAATGCTCTTAATGTATAAAATGAGAGCATCAATGCCAGCCTCCAGGGTTTACAAGTATAGTGGGCCTGGGCACCACAATACTTGTGTGAACAAATGTGAGGGCTGTGCAGCAGTGGACGAAGCAGGAGCCATTTTTTTTTTTTGTCTCTATGTTCAAATCATATGCATTAATAATATAAGAGATCCCGAAAGAGAGGCAGCCTCCTGCAGGTGGAGGACCATTTATAAGCTTAACAAATGGTGTGGCCTCAGTTTCTTCACTAATTACATAGCCTTGGACAAGATATTGCCACAATCATAGCTAGTTTCATTATTCTGCATGATTGTAGAATTAGCTTTAACAGTGGGTAGAATAGTATGCTGAAAACATGAACAGCTGGCCAAAAGTCACAAAGATTTCTCCAGATTTCTTACCTTGCAAGTGGAAAAACTGGGTCTCAGGAGAGTTAATCAGCTCCCCACCCCGACCCTGTACTTAACATCAAACTAGAGTCTTGGTGCCAGGCAAGCATCTGCCGCTCCTGCTATAGCCCAGACCAGACCAGCTGTAGTCACTCTTTTCTTTTCTTTTTCTCAATGCTGGATAACAAACTGTTGGACCAACACACCCAGGAAAGCTACATGCCCAGCTGCTGTTCACTTTTAATATTTGTCATATTAGCATTTGGTGCATAATTTAGGGGTAGTGTTTGAGTAGCATGCTTGGGGCCCTACTTTCAATTCCAAGTACCACCCCCTCCAGAAAATTACCAGAAGTTGTGAGCTTGCAGTGTGCTGTAAGGCAGTGTAAGAAAGCACTTCTTACAGTACCTGGCACACAGCTTAATACTCATCTGCTGCCTTTTGCAATAATCCATATCAACATTCTTAACATTGCTTACAGAGGTCCAAATGGCCCTGGTTTTCCGGCTCAGCCCCATTGCCAGCCACTCAAATCAGCACCATGCTAAGCTTCATTTCCATGGCTAACTGCCATTTCAAGCCTTCTCTTCCATTCTTTCTGTACAGAAACCTGTCTGTGTACCTGCTGGCTCAGTAAGCTCTTTAACCTCACTTTTACAGCCTCTGTGCCCATTTTCTCCCTTGGAAAAACATCTACATTAGTGCTATGTTTTATTCTCCCACTGGGCTGACTCCTGTGAGCACAGGAGCTGAGTTTTCTGTCTGCCCAAAGCAAATTTACACCAAGTAGGTACAGAAGGGGAAACAAAGTGAAAAGTGAAGGGACCGTGAACAAGGGTACAGTTACACTCAGCAGACTTGGTAGCTGTGTCCAGAGTGTCCTGAGGAAAGGTCTTCCTGGGCTGCCCAGTGACCTGAGAGGCACAGGGGTGATGAGGGGAGGCTTTCTTTCTGTCCCTGAGATTGCCTGCCTGTCTCCTGTCCAGGGAAGTTCCAGATGCAGGTCTTACCGCAGTGTGGCCACGCAGTCCATGAAGACGCCCCTGACAAGGTGAGTCTGGTACCTAGTGGCTTGAGAGGACAGCTGGGGGGAATGTGGGATTTCACAGAAAGTAGGATAAACCTGTGTCCTGGCTTTACCTGCAACTGCTGCTTGCAGACCTTTGTGGTCTGCCAGCTTTCCAAGCCCCTGCCTGCTGAGCACCTGTGGTCTTGGCTTTGTATGTCTGGGCTGAGGAGCCACTGGCACCCTCTGTTTCATCCCAAGGCACAGTGACTAAGATCTCCTTCTTTGTTACCCCCTAAAATCAGACAAGGGTAATTGGAGCAGGCACTGCACCCTAAATTCCAGTTACAATCAGATTAATAGGGACTCCTCCTATGAGAAAATGGTGCTTGTAACTCGTCTGAATAAAATGTTCCCCTCCACTCTCTGGAGCCATCTCTTGTGAGGAATCCCTGGTCCAGGTCCTTTTGTTCTTAAGCTACTCAGACAGCAGTGAGCCAAACCTTCTAGCAGAGGCCCTCGGGACTTTCAGCGCTAGGCCCAGCACATCCCTCCACAGGGCCTAGAATGCCTCTTCTTTTCCAGGTAGCTGAAGCTGTTGCCACTTTCCTGATCCGGCACAGGTTTGCAGAGCCCATCGGAGGATTCCAATGGTAAGTACATAAAGGCACATAAGTCTAGCTGGCCGTCCCACCTCAAAACTCAAGAATCTGGGGGGCTATGGATAGCACTGCCTTAGCCCTGTCTGGTCTGTATCACCAAAGTGTGTGTTTTCTTGATTGTATGTGGGTCCAGTGCAGTCGTGCTGAGCTGTGTTTGAGTCAGGCCTCATGCAATGAGGTGTCTGTTCTTTGAGGAGACTGGGCTGGGAATCACATCACCAAAGTGTGTGTTTTCTTGATTGTATATGTGGGTCCAGTGCAGTCGTGCTGAGCTGTGTTTGAGTCATGCCTCATGCAATGAGGTGTCTGTTCTTTGAGGAGACTGGGCTGGGAATCAGCCTTCTCTAGGAATGTCTGTGTTCTGCCTCCTGCTGAGCAGAGCTGGGCAGGCCATGCAGGCTGTGTAGAAGTCTAGATCAGGGATTTCAATCCCTGCACTGCTGACATTTGGGGGAGGTGGTTCTTTGTTGGGGTCACAAGATATCCTAAGCACCATAGTAGCACCCTGGCCTCTTCTAGGAACACCTTGCAAACATAATTCTGCCAACCAGAAATGCTTCCAGATGGTATCACATACCAAGGGAGGCAAAAGTGGAACAGAGGCTTGTCTGGAGGGAGAGTGAGCAAGCCCTCCTCCTGAAAAGCTCCTCGTGTTATTAGGGAGACGAGTTGAGCTGAAGGAGAGCATGCTGACCCACATTAGGTGGGTTCTGGCCCACCTCACGGGCATGTGTTCTGCGCTGGAGGAGGCCCTTGCTTCTCAGCCCATGTGTCACGTGAGGTGTTACTCCTGTTAGCTTCTTCTCGGATTTTGGTGAGGTTTTGGGGAGACATTTGAAAAATAAATGTCTTCTGCCTTAGACAACTCTGATTGCCAGGCCATGGGAGATAAAAGGGACAAGAGTGGTGGACATCAGACATGACAGGGACCTGGTACAATGAAAGGGATGGTTTATGCTGCCTGTCCCTAGGAATCAATATAAAGATTTAGTTTCTCAATAAAATATTTGGGGGCTTCTGACCTTTGGTGTCTTGGTCAAATGATCCATCCACTGAGTACAGCCCCATGTGGGACATGAAGAGATGGGACAGGCCTGCAGGAGCCTTTGTGGTCTGTAGAGAGGGTTCCCTGGAGAAAGAAGTAAGCCGTATTAAAGCTTGTGATGGTTACATTCCTAACATTTCCCCTTTCCGCCCTTGACAGTGTGTTTCCTGGCTGTTAGTGACCTGCTGTCCACCCCTCCCTCTACATTGAGCTCTGTTGTAAATACATCGCACCAGAGGCCACTGTGATGCCGCTGTCTCCTCCTCACCATCCCGCCCAGCCATGTGACACCGGTTCCCTGTAGAGGGGCATCCCCAGATGTACAAACCCCTTCTGTATACCCGTCAAAAGCATTGTTTTCCAGGGCCCTTGTCCAACAGTGGCCTGCGCAGTCTGGGGTCCTCAGTTCTTCCTCTCTCCTCCTGTGCTCCCTTCCTTGCCTAGGGTGAAGCCTCCAGAGCTCCTCCCTGGGCCCCTGTTCCTGGCATCCTGCAAATGTACCTGGGTCCATAAGTCTCCCCAGGCTCAGGGATCTCCATTCCTTGAGGATGTTCTTGGCATGATCCTGCCCTACCTCATGGGATGGGCAATGCACACACTGGCCCTTATTTTTCCCTTTCAAATAAAACACCAGTCAGGTACCTTTATCCCAGTCTTAACTGTTCTAAGTCTTGAAGAGCCAGGGTGACCAGGGTTCCAGCCTTAGGTTCAGGGAGAGGTAGTAGATAGCAAGCATCCCAAGAAACCTGCCTGTAAGCCAGGTCCAGCCAGTCCAAGCACATGGCTTCCCGTCTGGGTGAGCCCCCTCTCCCACTCCCACATGTCTGGGCACCTGCCCTGGGCTGAGGCCAGGCTGCTCCAGGGGCCTCATGAGCCCTCATCTGCCACAGAGCAGCCCAGGTTAAACACAGCCCATGCACAAAGCCACAGGCTAAATCCTGTGGAATTGTTTTTAATGAATGAATTTAACCATTTTCATAGTTGGTTCCTGAAGGTGTGCCAAGTGACGCTTGCCTCTTCTAGACCCACAGCTTCTCACTCCACTTGTGGTTTCCATGTTCCTCTGTAGAAACATCATGGACTAGCATCCCCAGTCTTTGCCCTTCTCCAGCTGCCTCATCACAGCACTGCAGCCTCCCCTGCTGCCCAGGCACGCCATTTCCACAGGCAGGGAGGGGCAGCCCCCTGAAGCCCATCTTTCTGTGACGTGTAGCCCTCTCCAGTTTTCACCCAACAACTTCCTACCCCTGTCCTGCTGCACGGTCCAGAGTCTGGGACCGACTTTGTTTCTTTGTTATTTATGATCTTGTTTAAAGAAAATAAATATCTCCCAACCTTTATTCATCTGAGGAGTTGTCCTTATTTTCACTTACCTGGCTAGGAATGGTTTATTAGATTTAGGCTCCACCAGACTCCAAAAGCCCCTTTTCTCCATAGTCTGCCAACATTGGTAGCCCGGCTCCTGTAAGCAGATTATCGCCTGTGTTCCTATAAAGAACCGTAGTGAAACTCTGGGGTGGACACACACAGTGGGGTACTAGGAAGAGGACTATCAGGGGGGCAAGAGACTGATAGGCTGTCTTTGCCCACAGCCTATCAGTATCTTCCCCAGATCTGATCCGGAAGATGGACAGAGCCTGTCTCTACTGCAGTCCAGGGAACCTGCAGTCTAGTCTCATCTCAGCTGGTGGAGAAAAGGATAGTCTGTCTCTGTGACTTTCATTATCCATGGCTTCGCTTATGCCAACACCAGTCATCTCCCGAGTGCTAGACATATGTGTCCATCTGTTCTGAAGGTCTCTCCCAGGTGACCAATGGGCCACTTCATGGTGGACCCCTTTGAAAGCTGCTCCTGAGTGCATGGTTCCAGCTCATTGTGAGGTAGGAACAAGCAGATGCTAGGTGTCCAGACCATGGTTAAAATTCTGGTCTCTTCCCTTTATTCTCATGCCATTTGCTGCCACACCCTGTGCCTTCCTTCTTTTATGCTCCTCTTGTCCATCCCAGCTACTCCCTTGTAGGTTTCCTGCCACTGCCCCTGCCCTAGGGTATCTCTCCACATACCTACTTCAAAGACTTCATTTCCTTATCTGCAAACTGTAGTAAACACATACCCCACAGGTCATGGAGGACCGTGCATGTAACAGTAGATCAAAGCTCCATGACTGGTACAAAACATAATCTTGGTCCCTGAGTCACTAGTGCCAGCCTCCCCTGGAGGTTTGATGTGGGTTTTGTCCTTACTCCATTCTTGTTGAGTCAGAACTGATCTGCATTTTTCAAGTACATCCATGCTGGAGAAGCTGCAGATTAAATGCTCACTATGACCAAATAAAGCAGGGCACCCCGGCAGAGAAGGGCCCACCTTCTATGATCTGATTTCTGCAACCTATCTTTTGGGATTGCCTTTGGGCTACATGTCCTGTTGCCTACAGGGGGACAGCATGATCCCCGTGGTTTTGTTCACCAGGCAAAAGCCGTGATTACCAATTTTGAGCATCATCAAATTTACTTGACATCAAATCCTCAGAAGAACCTGTAGGACAATTGCTATTATGTTCATTTTGCTGGTATGGAGACATTTAAATGTTTCTATGTCTCAGAAGTGTCAGCGTCGGAGCTCAAACCCACATGGTTTCTACAGCAAACCACTTCCTGAGTAATAGAAAGGACCCCTGGCAGAAGTTATCTGGGAGTAGGACTATGCAGTATTTACCTGCCCCCTAAGGTCCCAGTGACAAACCAAAACTTAATTCTACTGAAGTACTCCCAGGGGAGCTAATGAGTTTACTGGGCTAACTTACAGAGCATGGGTGAGGAGTTACTGACAGGAGTGTGGGTGACCCCCTAAGTAGCCACACTGACTAGTCTTCACCATGCATGGGTGATGGTACTCAGGTCAGGGTCTAGTGTCTTCCTACCTCTTTCCATGACAGGATGTCAGTCAACAAACCCAGCTGTAGTAATCATTTGCAAGCAAGCAACAGCTAAAATGAAGATGGCAGCTGTTTTGCTCAGAGGAATGTAAGCTCCAGAAGAACAGGAAGAGGATGACCAAAGAAATGAGGCCAGGTGGATAGTGGATGGAGGCTGGAAACAAAGGGCTAATTGAGCTTTGTTAGGGACTATGCATCAGGAATGTATGTGTTGTATGTGGCCATCAAGTATAGGCATTCTCTCCAATTAAAGTCAAGGTAACTGAGGTTTAGAGATGAGGAATGGCTTGCCCACAGCCACACTAGGGTAAGCATCTGTACCTTCTAGTTCCAAGGGTCATATGTTCACTTCTGATGTCTAATGAGTGCCTACTGTGTGCTAGCCATTAAGAATACTCAACACAACCTATAGATGATCAAGAAGGAGATCCCAGAACCCTTGAGTGAAGGATTGCTGTGAGGTCAAAAGCAACATATTTGAGTCAAACCAAAGGCTGTTCTATCCCTAAAGAACGTCAAATTGGGCAGGGGAGCTGAACTAGGGAGCTGGCTTACTCAGCAAAGTGCTTGCCATGCAAACATGAAGACTTAAGTTCAGATTCCCAGCATCCACGTAAAAAGCTAGGCACAAGACAAAATTAGGTCTTTTTTTTCCCCCAAAGGAAAGTCAACTTATTAACCTGTGTAAATGGGTGAGTGGGCCCTAGACTAGACATGTGCCCATCAGTAAAGAGGCAGCTGTAGGGTAAAATAACAGTAAAGATGTCTGAGAAAGTCATAAGGAATCATGCTATTAACCATTTAACTAAACAGGGCTGGAAAACAGCTCAGCCGTTAGGAGCATTGGCTGCTCTTCCAGAGGTCCTGAGTTCAATTCCCAGCAACCACATTGTGACTTACAACCATCTGTAAGGAGATCTGGTGTCCTCTTCTGGCCTGCAGGCATACATGCAGACAGAATATTGTATACATAATAAATAAACCTTAAAAAACAAAACAAAACAAAAACCCTAAAATTCTGTGCTGGGTAGTTTTATGTCAACCTGACACAAGCTAGGGTTATCTGAAAGGAGGGAACTCAATTGAGAAAATGCCTCCATAAGATGGGCCTGTAGGGTATTTTCTTAATGATTGATGAGGGAAGGGAGGGCTGGTGATTTTGGGTTCTATAAGAAAGCAGGCTGAGCAAGCCATGATGACCAAGCCAATAAGCAGCACCCTTTACGTTTTGTAAAAGGGAGTTGTATAGGTCTAAATAATAAAAATCCAGAATCAGATATTAAGGAAAATGTTGAGAGATCAGAGAGAAGAAGGAGCAAGCCACAACCACACCTTACCTCCTTAGCGTCTCAGCAGACAAGAGTGCAAGTTCCTGTTTCTTATTGCTTATATCTTCTCTCTGCCCAGCCATCTCACTTCCTGTCTGTCTGGACAGACCTCCAGACCTCAATGGTTAGCTAGTGGCAAGCTCCATTCTCTGACCTTCAGACAGCCTTTATTTGCCTTAAAAAACAAAACAAAACAAAACAAAAACCCTAAAATTCTGTGCTGGGTAGTTTTATGTCAACCTGACACAAGCTAGGGTTATCTGAAAGGAGGGAACTCAATTGAGAAAATGCCTCCATAAGATGGGCCTGTAGGGTATTTTCTTAATGATTGATGAGGGAAGGGAGGGCTGGTGATTTTGGGTTCTATAAGAAAGCAGGCTGAGCAAGCCATGATGACCAAGCCAATAAGCAGCACCCTTTACGTTTTGTAAAAGGGAGTTGTATAGGTCTAAATAATAAAAATCCAGAATCAGATATTAAGGAAAATGTTGAGAGATCAGAGAGAAGAAGGAGCAAGCCACAACCACACCTTACCTCCTTAGCGTCTCAGCAGACAAGAGTGCAAGTTCCTGTTTCTTATTGCTTATATCTTCTCTCTGCCCAGCCATCTCACTTCCTGTCTGTCTGGACAGACCTCCAGACCTCAATGGTTAGCTAGTGGCAAGCTCCATTCTCTGACCTTCAGACAGCCTTTATTTGTACAAGCAAGATATCACCACAGGTACAGTCCTTTAATCCCAGCACCTGGGAAGCAGAGGCTCTTTTTAGTTTGAGGCCAGCCTTGTCTACAAACTATAAAATAGAAATGAATTTTTTAAAATTAAAAAAAAAACCTTCTGTTTCTGCCTGCTTATTTCAACCCAGCCCCTTTGGGGGTTCTGAGAGTCCAGGTAAATGTGGAGATGCAGTGAGATTCCTCATTGCAGAACACAGGGGCCCAGATTAACAGGAATAATGAGGTCTGCTCAAGACAAAGAAGCATTAGCAAGGAGACACAGTGGATACAGCAGGCAGACTAGACAGAGGTGGTCAGGGAAAGCCTCTCAAAGGGACCTTGTGTGGAACCAGGGAGGCTTCCTTAAGGGGGGATGGCCTGAGAGGTGAGCAAGGCCAGAACAGGGCAACGGAAGTGGGGGGTGGGGCTGGGCTACAGGAGCATAAATCAATAGCACTACTTTGGTTTTCCTCATTCAACATCATGAAAGAATATTCTCTGTTGGGAGAGGTGACTTTAAAACATTTTAATGACAACCAAAACTCATAGAAAAAGAAAACAAAATTTCTTTCCACTTTAAAAAAAAGTCGCCGGGCATTCATAGCGCATGCCTATGAAGGGAGGCAGAGGCAGGTGGATCTCTGTGAGTTTGAGACCAGCCTGGTCTACAAGAGCTAGTTCCAGGACAGCCTCCAAAGCCACAGAGAAACCCTGTCTCAAAAAACTAAAAAAAAAAAAAAGTCATCCCCACTGGTGATGGGAATGGAGACCTCTGTGTCAGATGCTCCTGTTGGAGCAGCCTGATATTTCCAGATTGTGTGCATGTATGTGCTTGTGTGTGCGTTTGAGTGTATGTGTGTGTGTGGGGGGGGTGGTGTTTGTGTAATGTATATGTGTGTAGTATGTGTTCAGTGCTAGTGGACAGAGCCCAGGTAGGTATTTGCCCATGCTAAGCAAGTGTTCTATACTGAGCTCATCTGTTTCATTCCCAAGGGCATCAGCACTGGAAACCTCTCAGGCCTCTTATGTATTGCCCCTTCTCACAGCTGGAGTGGAACCAAATGCAAATTCTCCCAGGGAGTGGGGAGTTGTTCCTGGTAAAGACCATTCCTTGACTCCCACTCACAAGGCCCTGCTGTGAGGCCTTCTTCCTTCGGGAGACTTCACCCCTCTCTGCCCGTGGCTTTGGCTCCTGGCTTCTCTGACAAGCTGCCATCTGCCAATGCTTCAATCTTCAGGGTTGGTGCTGCACGGTCTTCGGAATTCCTGTCCATACTCATGTATCCACTTGTTAGCCACTGGAGGAGAGCAAGGAGGGAGAGGGGGCTCAGCAGGGGGATGGCCACAGGGGCTGTACACTTGATCACAGGGCTTGGAAACACAGCCCAGAACCCTGATGTTTGCCTAGCCTAGTCCTGGCCCAACTGTGCACAGTCTACTGCTCCCAGCATAGAAAGTATATCATCCTCCAGAAATTCTCCAGCAGATCTTGCTAATGGAGTACTGATTGTCACGTGTGGCACTCTGGTCATTCACCATTCTAAAAGCCCCAGTGAAACAGGGTAATGGAATGCTTCTCCTGGTGACCATGTGATGGCCATTTTCCACTTGCCTTTCTAGCTTCAAAACGAGGTGCTCTTGGACACAAATGCCAATTAACATGCCGGTCCATCCATCCTCTACTGTGGCTTCTTGCCTAACCATTCCTTTGGGACGGAGCTACATGTGAACAGCAGGTTTGACTGTGTTTGCCTTTATGCAGAGGGAGGGAAGGCACTCCAGTGTCCCAATCCTCCCCTCTGCTCAGATGAAGCCTCCTGACCAGGCCTGTGGCCTTTGCTGACACCTACTCTTCACAGGCCCCAAATCTGCTGGGACGCCTGACTGCTACTATATCCATGTCAGTGGTACTCAGCGGTACCACAAAGCCTTCAGAAGGGAGGCTGCCAGCCCCCACCCACCCCTCACTCCACTTTTGTATGCCTCCTCACCCCACTTTCACCCACAAAGACAGGCCTTACCCCACTTATCTCCCACCAGGACGGGACAGCCAGCATGAAGTGTGTCTCCATCTCCCTCTCCACTCCTGTGTAGGTTCCACCAAAACAGTGCAGCATTCTGAAAACAAGAGGGCCCAGCCCCAGGGGACAGGGGACAGGAGGAGGGGGTGTCAGCCCAGAGTCCTGAACTTTTTGTAGGCATGTGAATAAGGACACGAAATTTATGCCATTGAATAAGGAAACTCTGTTACCACCATGCAGTTTGGAGCAAGCAGGCATTGAAAGGCACAAGAGGGTGAAAGTTGCCACTCAGGTGTGGGTCACCGCCTCATGGCCTGCTCTACTCCAGGCCTGGGCATGAGGAGACAAGCCACACCTAGCTCTGCTCTTGGGGAGCCCAAGCGAGACAGATATGAAAAAGCAGAAGAGGACAATGTGGCAAGTGCTAGAATCCAGGCAAGCACAGGCTCATAGGATCACTGTGGACAGACACCCAACAAGACCCACTGGGTCCTTGGAATCATACAACAAAGCAGCAAAGTCAGGACTCAAGCCCCTGTGCTCTGACCCCATAGCCTATGTTCTCCTTCCAAGCAGTTTTCTTAACCACCCCCTAAGACTCTCTTTAACCATGGCCATTAGTCTAGACAGAGCCTGAGGCAAGGACGAAGCACTGGAAATGGGCCACGCCCTTGGTGCTTCTCAGTGGCTTAATGGGTGCTCAGGATGTACCAGGCACTGAGCCCAGCACTTCATACTCAGCCTCTAATTCATTTCCTTTGAATTACTAAGGGAATGTTTGATCTTCTGAAACATGGAGGAAATAGTCACCCACAAAACAGACCTCTCAGCGCTGTCTGTCTGTGTGTTGTCATGGCTGTTACTCTGTGAGCTCAGGGACAGGGTGCTGGGACTTGCTGAGTCCTTTGTGCTTTAGCTCTGTGGGGAACCTGAGGGTGACTCAGAGTTCTTAACCTCTAAGGAACCCACAGTGACAAAGAAGGCAGGCCTGTCATTTTCTTGTAACAGACAAGTAAATAAAACAGATGAGATGATAAGATGGTGGTTTGAAAGAAAATGGCCACTAATACAAGGTGTGACTTTGTTGGAGAGGGTGTGGCCTTGTTGGAGTGGGAGTGGCCTTGTTGGAGGAAGTGTGTCACTGTGTGAGGCAGGCATTTATTTTCAAGCCATGCCCTGTGAGACAGACATGCCTGTGGGTCAAAATATAGTACTCTCAGCTCCTTCTTCATCACCATGTCAGCCTGTACACTGCCATGTCCCACTATGATGACAATGGACTAAACCTCTGAAACTGTAAGCCATGCCATTAAATGTTTTCCTTAATAAGAGTTGCCATGGTCATGGTGTCTCTTCACAGCAATAGAAACCCTAACTACAACAGAATGGGCGATTGTCTTTGGGATTCCAGAAGGGTCTCTTTTTACCCATTTCCCCAGGCATCAGCTTGCAGGAGATGGGTGAGTTCTTCAACATTACACACCATCACACCCATATCCTGTGGGGCCAGGCCCGCTCACCTTAACCACAGGCACACTGAAGTTGGCATAGATGAAGGCCGTGGCTCCTCCAGCTTCTACTGCGCTCAGCTATCATACAAGAGGAAGACACCAGAGTTAAGATGGCTGCTGACAGCCCTCTGTCATTTCTTCACAGACTGTGTGTGTGGCAGAACTCCATTGTTTCAGTTATGGGAGAATTCCTTAGAAGACTCTCATCCAACTTCCAAACTCAGTGAACCTCTGTGAGGGTGCCGCTACTTGTTGGTGGGGCTTCTCACCACTAGATAAGATTCTGGAATTCCTATTTTTGCTTCTGACTACCATTGTGATGGAGGACTATAATAAGTAGATTCAAACTTTTTAAAAAGATTTATTAACTTTTAAAAATTACCTGTAGGGGTTGGCGAGATAGCTCAGTGGTTGAGAGCACCTGTTATTGCTGAGGGCCAGGTTTATAATCACCTTTAACTCCAGTTCCAAGGGATCCAAAATCATCTTCTGGCCCTTATTGCTGAAGGCCAGGTTTGGTTCCCAGCACAATTTACCTTTAACTCATAATCACCTTTAACTCCAGTTCCAAGGGATCCAAAATCATCTTCTGGCCTCTTTGTGCACCAGGCATGTATGTGGCACATAAACATACATACAAGCAAAGCATTCACACACATAAATAAAAATTATGTGTATGCCTATGTATGTGTATATAAATGTGTGTGTAGGTGCCTTTGAGGTCAGAAAAGCTGGAGCCATAGGCAGTTGTGCACTGCCTGATGCAGGTGCTCGGAACAAACTCTGGCTTTCTTCAAGAGCAGTCAGTGCTCTTAACTACTGAGCCATCTTTCCCACTTCTTAATATCTTTGATTGAATCTATTTCTCTCAAGGATCTCAATCAGGAAAGGGTGTACATCAGAACAACTATGGTCCTCAGACCACTAAGACCACTTCTAGTTTACCTAAATTAAGTGTGCTAGCTAGCTTTATATCAACTTGATACAAGCTAAAGTCGTATGAGAGTAGGGAACCTCCATCAAGAAAATGCCTCCAGGGCTGGAGAGATAGCTAAAAAGTTAAGAGCACTGACTGCTCTTCCGGAGGTCCTGAGTTCAATTCCCAGCAAGCACATGGTGGCTCACAACCATCTATAATGAGATTTAGTGCCCTCTTCTGGCCTTCAGGCATACATGGAGGCAGAATATTGTATAAATAATAAATCTTAAAAAAAGGAAAGAAAATGCCTCCAGAAGATGAGGTTATAGGCAGGCCTGTAAAACATTTTCTTAATTAGCGATTGATGGGGGAGGGTTCAGCCCATTGCGGGTGGAGGCATCCTGGGGCTGGTGGTCCTGGATTCTATAAGAAAGCAGGCTGAATAAGCCATGGGGAACAAGCCAGTGAGCAGCACTCCTCCATGGCCTATGCAATAGCTCCTGCCTCCAGGTTCTTGCCCTGCTTGAGTTTCTGTTTTACTTCCTTTGATGATGAAGAGTAAGCCAAATAAACCCTTTCCTCCCCAAGTTGTTTTGTCCTGGTGTTTCATCACAGCAATGGTAACCCTATAAGACACTGAGATGTAATTGGTGTGCACACGTGCGTGCACAGACGGAGACACACACAACACACACACACACACACACACACACACACACAGGAGCCGGCCAAAAGTTTGCCTCAGGTGTCAATTCTCAGACACTGTCCACTTTGTTTTTTGAGACTAGTCTCTCTCTGGCCTGGAACTTGCCCAGGGGGCTAGACCAGCTAGCTCCTGAGCCCTGTGGACCTGCCTGTCTCTGTCTCCCCAGCACTAGTCTCCAAGCCTAGATTTTCACATAGGTTCTGTCATCGTGTTTTCCAAGGCAAACATTCTACTGACAGAACAATCTCAGCTCTGGATGTATTTTCTTAATATAACGAGATTTTTCCTTCTTATTTTCAAGGAAATAATATAAACATTTTTAATATATGAAAGTATTAAAAAATAACAGCCCCTGTCATCTTACCAACTAGAAAACATACACATCACAGTTTGCATTGGTTAATAGTTGGCATTTATGGCAGGCATTATACTAAGTCTCCACAAATATATGGTCTCACTTGGTCCTGACAAGAGCCCTCTAAGTTAAGACTGTCATATCAACACTGATCTTATGTCTAGTCTGAACAGAAGAATCACTGACTGGTTGGCTTTCAACTCAACCCTCTTTCTGCACTTCTTAAAGATTATCCTCGCCTATCATAGTCCTTGTGTTTTCCACAAACCTCAACAAATATCTTGGGAAATTTCTGACATCTATATCAATGTAAAGATGCAAGCACTGGACATAACTGGGCCCATCTTAGGTCCCTACAACACTGGTTGGCCTAGTAATATTCTTTCCCATACTTGCTTGGTAGGATACAGTGACAGACACAGAGTTCTATGATATCTTCTAGATGGCTTCTTGCTATCAGAAGTATGCAACTGGGACACTGGGAGACATACTGGAATCATTAACATAGAGATGATATTGAACACCAGCCTTTTGAGTGCCCTTCCTGGCTGTGCTGTGGAAACCAGATCCAGCCCTCAGGGTAAAGGACTTTCCGAGGGAGTGTCAGTTCGTATAAAGAGCCTGAGTCAACTTGGGGTGATATTCAGAGCCCTTGTAGTTGGCATGTTTACCCTTCCACTAATAGTACTGAGTCTCATCTACACTTTATCTTAGCCAAAAGACCAAGAAGCATTAGTAAATCTCACCCAAAAAATGATTGTTTCTAATAGTCTCTTCTAAGTGATAGATGATTGGGATATGGCTGGTTTGTGTAGATGAAAGTAAAACTTCATAGTCTGAAGGATAAGGATGAAGGCTGGGACTGAATCCTGTGGACCAGGCCAGGGATTTTGAGAGAAGGCCAACTGATCACTTTAGTGTTTTATTTAAGGGTGTGGACTCTACAGCAGACAGGAGGAGGATTTCCACTGCTTATCAGGGGTACTTATCTATTTTATATCTCCCTGCTTTCTCCTCTTGGAGTCTAAACTGCTCCTTTCTCTTCTCTTTCTGTAACAAGTTCACAGGCCCATTGATGAGTCTATGTTTTTCAGTACCAACTAGGCTTCGAGACCTTAAGGTGGGAGACAACTATATGCTCTTCCTGTGTTGTTCAAGCCTCATGGTCTCCTAGCTTTCCCCATCCTGATCACTGCCTAGGAAAGGTCATATTTAGGCCTTCACACTGAAAGCTCCCCGAGGACAGAAATCTGTCTGGTATCCCCTTATATCTATGACTAACAAAATAATGCCTTCTGGTTTTAGAAAATTCCTAGAGATTTTTGTGTTCCATACCAGATAAAACTAATATATGAAATCACTTTGAAAATCCATATGATAAAATTGTCTACTTAGCCACATAAGTAAGAAGTCTTGGTTCTCTTAGAGTGAAACTCACATAGATCATAAATGTTGCGACTCGGTTTCCAGACTTCATCCTGTACAGGGGGCTGCTTGGTGACTGAGACAGAAATAAAGCACATGGTTATTTTGTGTGAATGATACCAGAGTGACAGCCAGGATTTACCATTAGTACAGAAAGGGATACAATGAGGACATCAAGGACAGCATATAACCCTGAACTACACCAAGTGGAGTGTGTGTTCATCTTTGCTGCCAAGTACTCAATAGACTCTTAATTGGACATTAATTTTTTGGATATGCACATGACTGAATTCAATACAAATCAAACAAATTTTCTGTCAAGTTGAAAAATTAGATAAGAGGTTCTGCACTTTAGGTTTTCTGTAAAACAAAGAAAATATAGAAGGTAATTATCTTATAGAAATATCAAATCATAAGATTGGTGTTCCAGATTATTTTCCCAATATACACACTCATTCTTTAATCAAGGAAAACTCTGAAATATAACTTGCATACCATGGAATTCACTCACTGTAAATACTACTAGCTGAATTTTAGCAAATTTTAACAGTTGCCCAATCTTGCCCACAATCTAGTTTTAGAAATTTCCACCTGCAAGTAAAGGTTTATGTCAATCATGTACCCACAAAACCTGGTTTTCTACTTTCTGTCTCTGTGTTTTGTCTTTTCTAGAAATTCATGTAAATGGAATCATAAAATATGAAGTCTTTTGTGAATGACTTCCCTCTTTAACTTGTATACTCATTTCTCTGTGTATATGTGTGTGTGTGTACATGTATGATGTGTGTGCATGTATATATGTTGCCTACATGTAGGCCACAGTGCACATGTGGAGGTCAGAGTACAATCTTGGGCATAGGCTCTCCTTTTCCATCTTGTTTGAGACAGGGTCTCTCTTGTTTACCTGTTGCATATGACAGGCTAGCTGGGCAAAGTCTCCCAGGGATTCTCCTGTCTTCATCTCCCATTCTCCCTAAAAGTACTGGGATGACAGATGTGCTCTTCTTTTTTTTTTTTTAAAGATTTTATTTATTTATTATGTATACAACATTCTGCTTCCATGTATATCTGCACACCAGAAGAGGGCACCAGATCTCAAAATGGATGGTTGTGAGCCACCATGTGGTTGCTGGGAATTGAACTCAGGACCTCCGGAAGAGCAGTTGGCGCTCTTAACATCTGAGCCATCTCTCCAGCCCGACAGATGTGTTCTACTGCGCCCTGATTGCTTTTTATTATGGATTCTAGGGGTTCAAACCCCAGTCCTCATGCTAGTATGGCAGGCACTACCCCCTGAACCATCTCCCCAACCACTTGAATACTACTTTTAAAGTTCTTGGAATCTTGATAAAGTGGGAGCATTAGATCAGTTGCAGGGAGGTCTTTTTTCCCCATGGTGTTGTGATTCTTTTCATTTGTTTATTGGTCACCTGTATATCTCATGTGTTTTGCTTATTTTAAAATTATCAACATATCAATTGTATTCATAGGTTTCACTGTGATATTCCCATGATTCTACATGCTGCCCCCTTGGGAAGGTCCCTTTAATCCTCAAAAGCATTTGCTACTAGCAGCGTGGTGAGCAGTTGAGATCATAAAGAGAGGAGAGGGCAATCCTCATGGAAAAGGCCCCAAGGAAAGTAGGAGATGGGATTTTATTACAGACTGTATTCTTCTCCCACTGGGAGAAGAGGAAGGTGGTGGCAGGAAAGAAAATGAATCCAGTAATCAGCTGAAACCAAGGCTTTCAGATACTCTGGAAACAGGAGCCTTTGTTCTAGGCCCTTCCTTAGTATTTTCTGAGAGCCCTTCCTGACCTCTGCTTCAGAGGAAGGACACGCTGGCTCCCCACCCCAGAAGACTGGCCATTGATCCCATCGTTACCGTAGCGTGGTCAAAGTGAGGCTCATAGTGCCCTCCAATTCCATAGTTCACCACCTGGAGATACTCTGCATAGGGAGGCTGGATGTCAAGGCCTGTGAGGGCAGCAATGCGGTGGTCAAGAGTCCCCAGCATGGGATCAACCGTGTCCTTCAGCCAGGCACTAAAACACAGCAAGGATTGGAACAACAGTGATCTGGTGTTGGAAATCACTATATGATTGTCTGTGAAAGAATGGATGGTGTGGTGGTTTGAAAAAAATGGCCCCCAGCCAGGCATTGATATGCCTTTAATCCCAGCACTCTGGAGGCAGAAGCAGGCTGGTCTCTGTGAGCTCAAGGCCAGCCTGGTCTACAGAGTGAGTGCCAAAATAGGCTCCAAAGCTACACAGAGAAACCCTGTCTCAAAAAAGGAAAAAAAAAGTCCCCAAAGTGAGTGGCACTATTAGGGGGTGTGGCTTTGTTGGAGTAGGTATGGCCTTGTTGGAGGAAGTGTGTCACTGTGGACTTTGAGGTCTCCTTTGCTCAAGCTTCACTCAGTGTGGTACATAGTTCACTTCCTGATGCCTACAGGTCAGCTCCTTCTCCAGCACCACGTCTGTCTGCATGCCGCCATGTCTCACCATGATGATAATGGACTAAACCTCTGAAACTGTCAGCCACCCCAATTAAATGTTTTTCTTTATGAGTTGCCATGGTCATGGTGTCTCTTCACAGCAATAGGAACTCTAGGACAGATGGTTAGACACATGGATGAATGAATGCATGATAAACAAATGAATCAAGTCTGTTAAAGGGAAGGAGCCATGAATGCCTAACCACTTACTCTCTCATATGTCAGCTGATCCCAGAGTGCTTGGCCTACTATCTCAACACTAACGTAACTCACATTCTCTGAGGCTAGTGCTGAGCTGAGCCCAGTGAAAGCTCACAGAACCCAAGACTGTGACTCAGAGCTTAAGAGGACAAAACTCCATCCTTAAAACTGCTGTGCTATGAGGACATCTCCAACAGAAGAAGCAGAGTGCATGAGAACAGCCAGGACTTAAAGAAAGCGATGACTGCTGGGTGTGGTGGTGTGCTCCCAGCTCTCAGCAAGCTGAGGCAGGAAGGTGGCTTGAGCACAGGAGGTCAAAAGCAGCCTGGGAAACACAGAAAGACCCTGACACCCCAACCAAAGGAAGTAGAGGATAAGGAAAGGAAAGAGGAACAGGAGAGGAAGAAACTAAAGTAGTAATAACAGTTCATCTCTTCCATATGCTGTCAGTACTTAACCTTTCACCTCTCTAAGGGCCAGTGTACTCCTCTAGAAGTGAGGGTGGTGATTATATCTACTTTCAGGTTTTAGGAAACTGTGAGAGAAACACTCATGGAGCTGTTCTGTAAGGTGTGTTGGTGACAGCTATGATACCCAGGGGAGTCTCAACTCTGGGCAAACCAGGATAGGTCAAATCCCAATTCAGACTCTTCCTGAATGTCTTCTTGAGGTTCTTACAATGTTAAAAAATTGGATTCAGAATCAAAGCCCCTAGAAAAATGATGCCATGTTCTCTAAGCAAAGCCAGTGACATCCTGACAGATTAATTTGTTCCATATACTTTACACTCAGATTATTTATTAAACTATATGCTCTTAGATTTGCAAAGATATCCAGGACAGTAGTAGTCACTGCTTTCAAAGAAGAAAAGCACAGAGGCCAGAGAGATGGCTCAGTGGTTAAGAGCACCTGATGCTCTTGCAGAGGACCTGGTTCAGTTCCCAGCATCTACATTGGGCAACAGAACTGTCTGTAACTTCTGGGAGTACAATGCCTTCTTCTGGCTTCTGGGTTCAATGCATGCACACGGTGCACACACAGATAAGCAGATATTCCAAGGTTTAGAGAACACTTTTAATGTCAAATGTCCCTGCTGATGGTTTGGATGGAGAATGCTCCCCACAGGTGCATGTGTTTGAACACTCAGATGGTGATGCTGTTTTGTGAGGTTGTAGAACCCAGGGGTGGGTCTTGAGGATCGTAGTCCAGTTGTCCTTCCATCCCTAGTCTGTATCCCTGTTCCACACAGATGTAAGGAAGTGAAGAGGTTCCACTGCCCACTGCCACCATGGAACCACCAGTCACCAAGCCTTCCCTGCCTTCATGAACTGTAAAACCAGTCACCAAAGCAAACCCTTCTCTTCGGTTGTTTCTTGTGGGGTTTGGCTCACGGCAATATGTAGAGTATACAGTCCCTAAATGTACCAGACAACATAAAATAAGCCCAAATAATCCTGAACCAAAGCTTTTGTCTCTCACAATCCTCCCAGAGGACAAGGACACATGTCTGGCCGTCTAGCCTTTCTCTGGAGTGCTGATGCCACTTTCTCATGTGGCTGTGATGGACAATCCTCCTCTCTCTCTCTCCCCAGTCCTGTACTCACTGTGCAAATACACAGTTGAGGGTAGGGTAGGAATGGAGGGAAGGGCTGGGGAAGATAGGCCTGGGTGCCTCACTGGAGCCTGCCCCTTGAGAAGCCAGAAGGGCTTCCATGTTGCTTGGAAGGTTTTGTATAGGAGGAGGAGTGGATTCTGTACAGTCAAAATACAGATGTGTGGGGCTGGAGAGATGGCTCAGAGATTAAGAGCACTGGCTGCTCTTCCACAGGTCCTGAGTTCAATCCCCAGCAACCACGTGCTGGCTCACAACCATCTGTGATGAGATCTGGTGCTCTCTTCTGGCCTGTAGGCATACATGCAGGCAGAACACTGTATACATAATAAATAAATAGATCTTTAAAAAAATTACAGATGTGTGTCGGAATGCACATTCCAGATGTGTATAGGAACACACATTACTGATGTGTGTAGGAATGCACTCTGGGAAGAAGCAACAGAGCGTTTTCTGATCTAAGGTGGAGTTTCCCCAAGCCTTTTTCTGGTGACTTCTTAGTTAATCTCCAGACAATACTGCAATCTGGTGAAGGCACTGAGGTGACAGGATGGAAACACCTCTCGTAAGAGTTTCTCACAATGTGAACTACAGGCTCTCTAGCCATCCCAAGAAAGGTTGTTGCTGACCTAGCAGTCAGCTGTGCCCTCAGCCCAAGGCCAGAGTGGGCCTTCCTACCTTTTGCTGATTCGGTACTCCACTGGTAACTGCTTTTCCCCTGAAGCCACCACGGATCTCTGGAGCTGGTGGAACACACAAGAGAAAGACCAGGTGGCTCTAATGCAAAGGAATGGCCCATCATACCCACAGGCATTTCTCTCTCTAAGGCTTAATCATCACCAGATCCTGACTCCTTAAATTGTGTTTCAAGTGTTGCATGAAAACATCACACAGAATTCCTTTTGTGCCCGCAAGACTGATTGGGCGGGGCTAGGGTTACTCCCTACAAACACCTCTCGTAAGAGTTTCTCACAATGTGAACTACAGGCTCTCTAGCCATCCCAAGAAAGGTTTTTGCTGACCTAGCAGTCAGCTGTGCCCTCAGCCCAAGGCCAGAGTGGGCCTTCCTACCTTTTGCTGATTCGGTACTCCACTGGTAACTGCTTTTCCCCTGAAGCCACCACGGATCTCTGGAGCTGGTGGAACACACAAGAGAAAGACCAGGTGGCTCTAATGCAAAGGAATGGCCCATCATACCCACAGGCATTTCTCTCTCTAAGGCTTAATCATCACCAGATCCTGACTCCTTAAATTGTGTTTCAAGTGTTGCATGAAAACATCACACAGAATTCCTTTTGTGCCCGCAAGACTGAGTTGGGGAAGAGCATAGCCATTTTTCATCTTGTCTTGTATCACAGCATCAGGCCTAAGGCTTGAGCAGGGTAAACTTGGTGTTTCTCAGATTAAACAAAACACCTCCAGCCACAAAGATGTGCACTCAGGGGCAGCCTGCTCATTCTTAAAAATCCAAAGCAAAACCCTTCCTTTCAGAGCTCACAGCTAAGCTGCAACTGCCCAGCTTACAAAAAAACAAAACAACCCCCCCCACAGGTTTGAGGTCACTAATTTAACTGTTTTCTCTTTGGTTCTGAATTCATCTGTATACAGCATTTATATGCTATTTTTTAAAAGTACCTCCTGATTACAAACTCTCTGTTCTAGGGACAGAGAAATAAGCTCTTGAGGCTGTGTCTGTTTCTTTCTCTGGCATGTGTCAGCCTCTGCAGGGCAAGGACATCCTGGCCAGGTAGAGATGTTCAGAAATGGTTAAAAGGCCAGTGGAGCAAAAGAAGTCAGGTCCCCCAGCTCCCCTATCTCTGAGAAGTGAGAGATGAAGTAGAACAATAAACAGCATACAAACAAAACCTTTCCCCTCATGAACCACGTGCAACTGAAGCCCTTCCCTCCATGAAAGGCATATAGCCTAACCCTTCCCTTCTCTAACGTAGCTGCACTCCCTGCTGCCAAACCAGGCAGCCATCTTGGGAAAGCCTGTTCCTTTTCCTCGGACCCATCTCCTCATCTGTAGGCACATCACACCAACAGACTCTCAAGAGTTCTTCTTGGCCCAGGGCTCTAGTATACTGGGATGTGCAGGTGACTGGTGGTGCCTCTGTCCTTTCTAAAACCATTCACACAGAGAGGAGAGATGTCCTCTTCTGTTATTCTAGGACAAATTCAATGACTAAAAAAAAATTCTACCCCTCTATTAGGAGATTACTTTGTACCTAATTATTTTTGCAGTTCTTTTATCATTGTCTACAAACAAATCATTCATTTTGAGAGCAAGTATTTATTGTATTTATGATGTTATGCACTGTGTTGGATACTAAATATGCTCATTGGCTAGCCAGCTTAGCTGGATCAAGGAGCTCCAGGTTCAGTGAGGGACCGGCTGAAAAAATAAGGTGGACGGTTGATGAGGAAAACCTTCAAATTCAGTCTGGCATCATACAAATGAGCGTACACATGTGAACAGGTATAAACATTACACATGTGACAAAATCATAACACTGGCAGCAATGAGCATAATATGGGCTGGGGAGATAGGACATTAACCTACAAAATGTCTAGTGATATCAGCCAATATATAAATGGCAGGATTAACATAAAAATTAAGTGCTATACAGGCGGTACCAAAAGCCTTGAGTTCAGAGAAGGGATAGTTTAGTGCATGCGGTCCTGTAAAAGTGCCCTGAAGGGCACAGCCATTCAGAGAAGCAAGAAAGCAGGCCGGAGCTACAGTCGTGCATGGTTCCCACTGAGTCCTTGAGGAGGATGGGCATGGGGTAGATGGAGAGGAGGCTTCAGGAGAGGAGTAATGAAGAGGCAGCAATAGCCACGGAGGCTCATGGGTCCCTCTCCCATAAGCTCTCAGTTTATTCCTGGGTCAGGCGCAGGCCAGACAGGCGTAAACAAGTCCATTGAGAGGTTGTTGGGGAAGGTAGTGTGGCAAGGTATGCTGATGCTGAATAGATGACCTTGCTGTAAAGGATTCAGTGAACATCTCTGGATGGGTCACCTGTCCCATCACCATGGCAACAGCTGTTCTAAGGAACAGGCAGCTGCAGGCCTGATATAACTTGTGGCTCCCTGAGACGCCGATGCCACTGACAATGCATTGCTGTCATCCCCATCAGAGCTAACCACAGCCACAGCCACAACCACAACAACAACTACAACAAACAGAACAGACTCTAGACTGGCCTGGAGGACCCTCTGCATGATACAATGATTGCTGTTCTCACTCCAATCCATTTCTGCTCTCAGAGTTTTCCTTAAAATCACATACCTGCCCAAGCTAGTGAGAGCTCACTGACTCAGGTCTGACAAATGGGGAATCTGCATAGGACAAAACTAGACTCCCTTAATATAGGGGACAGTGGTGTGACTGGGACAATATATGAGGCCACTGGCAGTGGGTCCAAGACCTAACACTAAAGCACAAACTGACTTAGTGAAGCCCATTATATATGAGAGATACCTTGCCCAGACTAGACACAGGGTTTAATGGCACATTGCCTGTCCTCATCAGTGATCATCTTCTGCCCTGTTCTTTGTGCACTTCAGTCAACCAAGCTTCTCTCTGTTCTCTGAACATGTCACCCCTCAGACACCCTCAATGTGTGGCTTTGTCTTCCCGGAATACCCCTTCCTTTACACTCAGTGAAAGAAACCTGCTCCTTCCTGTCCTCCCCAGAGGTCCCCTCCCACGTGCCTTCCAGTCAGGTCACCTCACACAGCACATATGATCACGGCACTTTCCCCCATACACTAGTGGTTCTTGACTTTCGACCCTTTAATACAGTTCCTCATGTTGTGGTGACCCCCAACCATAAAATTATTTTCATTGCTACTTCACAATTGTGATTTTGCTACTGTTATGAAACATAATGTAAATATCTGTGTTTTCTGATGGTTTTAGACAACCCCTGTGAAAGGTCATCTGACTGCCAAGAGGTCATGACCTACAGGTTGAGAACCACTGCCTTACATGGAGGGAAAGTTCCTCACCTCTTTGTAAAAGCAAAGAGTCTGGGCAGGCTGTGTTCTGGTGATGGATGGGGCAACACACTTAAGGACATAGTGTCTGGTTAGAAACAAACAATTCTGCACCAAATAATTGTGCCTTGGACGAGAGTACAACAGGCTTATAGTAGTGAAATGGACTATCTTCTGACATTTGCCGCATTTCCTAGCAGGGGCAATGACACATCCTTCCCACTGGACCAGCTCTGCTTGGTCACTTGCTGGGCCTGCCTTCCCTATGGAGGGTTAAACAGGCCTCCTTTTATTTTTGGCTTTTTGAGACAGGGTCTCACTATGTAGCTCTGGCTGTCTTGGCAGTCGCTATGCAGACCAGGCTGGCTTCAAACTCCCAGAGATCTGTGGGTAGAAGTGATGTTTGCACTTCCAAATAGAAGCTTTAAAAGCCAGCTCACATTTGCCATTTCTGTCTTATTCTCCCTCCCATGAGACTGGTAAAGTCTCTGATGGAGGCTACTCTGCCAGGCTGGGTTCCAGCTACGGCAGAGCTTCAGTCAACCCCACACAAACACATAATGTGGCAAACTGTTGCTGTCAATAAGGTTCAGGGCCACTTATTACCAAGCATAACTTAGCCTGAACTTATTAGTAGAAAGAATAACAGCAGACTGGCAATCAGCATACTCTAAACTCCAGTCCTGACTCTAGCTACATGCTTACTTTAACCAAACCAGTTCCCTTTTCTGGGCCCCAGTTTCCTCTTTAACAGAGTCATGAAGTTGAGTCTGGTCATCGAATCTACTCTGTCAATATGTACTAGTATTTCAGTTCTTGTCCTGTCAAGTTCTTTTCAAATCTACTCTGTCTGTCAATATGTACTAGTATTTCAGTTCTTGTCCTGTCAAGTTCTTTTCTTCTACTCATAATGAGGAAAAGTTGACACTGGGGAAGTCTTGTCTATATTTTCTGAGATCACTTTGATATATAATGATATGCCCAGGTCTCAAGCACACTATTGGTTGGATTTTGACCACTTTCTGTAGCTACGTGTCCCACAGCTCAAAGAAGATATTGCCAGCACAATCTGAACACCTCCTAAATCCCCGGCACCTTATCCTTTCCCACTAAAGGCAAGAACAGCTGTGATATTCCCCACTACTGACTGGCCTTATGGAATGAATGGTGTTTTGAACTTCTGGACTAAGAAAAAGTCTTGCCATGACAGCTATATGCTTTCCAGGCATGTGGGGACACAAAGGGGATTTGAGGATACTCACCCACGGTTCTGCAAGCTCTCTAATCTTCTGAGCTTCTGCATCACTAACAAAGTCATGGTAGAGAGCCACAAAGGGTCTCAGGTGGATGACCTCCTTGCGGGCAGGCTGGAGCAGCAGGTAGGGGCTGGAATTGGTCTCGTAGGAGCAGTAGAGTCTGGGGTTCTGGTAGTGTGTGGGCTGGAAGGAAAGAGTAGAGTAGATATAAGAAAAGAAGGGTCAGGCTCCTGAGAGCCACAGCACAAAACTGGAACTTGAGGGTAATAGAAGATGAAATCACTCCAGTGTTGTTTGGTAAGTTGTATTGTCTTTGAGGCATCAGTTTTTCCCTCAAGTTATCCCAACTCCAGTCAATTTCCCTGAGGAATCCTACCTGGGAGCCCAGAGTCTGGCACAGCCCCTCGTATGTGTCTCTGGTCTGGAGGTTGGGCACGTTGGGCCTCTGAATGACAGTTTCAGTTGCCATCTGGAGAGTGTTCTGTGACAAGAGCCTTTCATATTTCAACACATTCCTGGCCATCCTCTTATTATCTGGGTCTGGGGGAAATCCAAACACAGGAAATAACACAGATGAATAAATACTGGCCCCAGGAAGAACACTCAAGATTTCCTGCAGTGGGGTGTGCTGGCACATGTCTTTTCTTTTCTTTCCTTTTTTTTTTTGTATTTTTAAAATTAATTTATTTTTTACATTCCAATCCCAGTTTCCCCTCCCTCCTTTTTTTTTTTTTGTATTTTTAAAATTAATTTTTTTTTACATTCCAATCCCAGTTTCCCCTCCCTCTTCTCCTCCAGCTCCCCCCACATGTCTTTTCTTTAACTACAGTTTTCAGGAGGCAGAGGCAGAGGCAGGAGGACCTCTGTGAGTTCCAGGCTAGCCAGGGCTACATTGTGAGACCTAGTCTCAAAAAGAAAGAAAGAAGGAGAGAAAGAGAAGAGAGAGAGAGAGAGAGAGAGAGAGAGAGAGAGAGACCAGCCAGGGCTACATTGTGAGACCTAGTCTCAAAAAGAAAGAAAGAAGGCGAGAAAGAGAGAGAGAGAGAGAGAGAGAGAGAGAGAGAGAGAGAGAGAGAGAGAGAGAGCAAGCCTTCCTGGAGCTTCACAATCACACTGGACTGACGCCTGGACACCTTAAAAAACGTCTCATGGCAGTGTCCTTCTTCCTAAAAGAGCATCTGGCATTAAAAAATTGACTGGCCTGGGCCTGCTGGACCTGAGGGATGACTGTTAGTATGCTTAGACAGGGGATAGTGTGGTCAGTTCTATGTTAGAAAGGAAGCTCCATCCATCCATCCATCCATCCATCCATCCATCCATCCATCCGTCTGTCCACTCATCAGATCACTTAATAGATGTTCAAAACCATGTTCTATGCTAAATTCTGTGCAAGGCTGACCTCCTGGAGCACAGCATCCAGTAACTACTTAGAAAAGGACATGGCAAGTAAGAGCAGTAGAAGAAAGCTCAGTCATCACCTCAAGTACAGGTCCAACCTATTCTTATATATTACATTTATGGATTGGGAGGTGTTATGTGTATGTGAGCGTGTGTGTGTGTGTGTGTGTGTGTGTGTGTGTGTGTGTATTCATGTTCTTGTGCATTTGTAAATACACATGGAAGGGTGCACATGCATTGGACTTGGCATTGTGGTCAAGAATCATCCTCCATTGCTCCCAACCTTATTCATTGAGGTAGGGTCTTTCAATTGAACCCAGAGCTGCCAGATTTGGCTAGTTTTGCTAGTGAACTTGTGGAGATTTCTTGTTTTCACTTTTGCCTCTGAAGGCTGGAGTTACAGGTGGGTCTTCACACACACACCCAGAATTTTATGTGTATTTCTATTGATCTGGACTCTAGTCCTCATGCTTTCGAGGTATGCACTTTAATAAGAGTCATCATCCCAGCCCCTTAATATGTTTATACTACTAGTTACACTTGCATTTCCAGACCACCTAGTGACTTCCATATCCTGTTCTTTGTCAAGGTATCAGAAAGGAATAGTGTTAGAGCCTTCTCTCAGCAGATGGTGCCAGGATCTTTCTAGATAACCAAAATCCACAGATGATCAAGTCCCATTCATAAAATAGTATAGTGTTTGCAGACAGTTTATGTACACCCACCAACAGACTTCAAATCATCTCTAGTTTATTTATAATACCCAACATAATATAAATACTGTATTATATACAAGTAAAGAGATAGTCATTACACTGAGCTGCTTAGGGGATAAAGTCAAGAGGAAAGGCTATTGTTTTTGACCCAACACAGTGTTTTGTAGATTACTGTTTGTAATCTAACAAATAAAACTTGCCTGAAGATCAGAATGCAGAGCTAAGTCACTAGTTAACCACACACACCCTAAGCCACTACTTAGTCACACACCTAAGACACTAGACCCATAGAGGACAGGCAGTCATGGCCACACTTTTAATCCCAGCACTCTGGAGACAGAGGCAGATGGATCTCTGTGAGTTCCAGGCCACTCTGGGTTATATGAGAGTGAATCAGTCTAAAAGAGAATCAGAGCTCACACCTTTGATCCCAACACTAGAGAGGAACATAAGGCAGGAGCTCAGTGCAGGGCAGTCTGAGGTTTGGTGGAGAGCATTGCAGTCTGCAGTCACTCTGAGGACAGGATTGCCCCGCTTTGGTCTGAGCATTGGTAGAGGTGAGAACTCCAGTGGCTGACTGCTTTGCTTCTCTGATTTTCAGTTTTAACCCCAATTTCTGTCTCTAGGTTTGTATTATTTGTGCTGCAATGTTTTTCTTGTATTGATTGAATCCATGGACACTGAGCCCAGAGATAGATAAGGAGGGCTGAACACACTAGGCGGATTCATTCAAAAGTTATGAGTGAGTGCAGTTTAAAGGTACTCCACAGGGGCTCGTGCATGTAGGTTTAGTTCCCAGCACCCACATGGTGGCTCACAACCATCTGTAACTCCAGTTCCAGAGGACCTGGCACTATCTTCTGGCCTCCATGCACACCAAGCATGCACATAGTACACAGACATACATGCAGGCAAAATATACACATAAAATAAAATTTAAAAAAGAAGCCCTCAAACACTTGGTGATATTAGTGATTTTACAACTTATTTTAGTAGCTAAATACTTAAAGGAAAATCTAGGAAGCCATCTACCAACAAAATTTTAAGTAACAATCTTGAAGTTCAGCTTCTCAGCATCTCCTCCTTTTGCTGTTGACATAAGGCATTCCCTGATGGGGCTGAGCTGGACTGGGCAGGATGCCTGCATAGCCAAGTGAGCTCTGGTTTTCAGGGGAAGAACTGATAGCTCTCAGTAAACAGTCGAAGAAGTGAATAGCCCTCTGAGTCACTCCCTTCTCACATACACAGTGCACATTGATTTTATTCATTCCCAGGTTTCCTTCCAAAACCTGGGTCTTCAAGCAGCCTCTGAAGAACCTGGCTCTGAGCCTAGATTTGTTCCTGTTGAAAGAACAAGCTGGGAAGGGGCAGGTTGACATCTTCTAAGCATTTTTTCAACTAACTCATAAATTTCCCCTTTCAATGATCTGTGTGTAATAATAAAAAAGGATGGCTGGGGCCTGGGGAGGTGGCTCACAGAGTGCTTGCTGTGAAAGCAAGGGAGCCTGAGTTCAAATCCCCAGCACCGCCACACAAAGCTGGGCATGGCCACCCACCTGCAGGTGGAATCCCAGCTTTTGGGGGGTGAAGACAGGCAGATTGTGGGATCTTGGGAACTCACTAGCCAGATGGCTTAGACAAAGCAGTGAACTTCCGGTTCAGTGAAAGACCTTGTCTTACAAAAAAGGTGAAACAAGGGAGGGAGGCAGAGACAGGCAGATCTCTGTGAGTTCAAGGCCAACCTGGTCTACAGAGCTCCAGAACAGACTCTAAAGCTACAGAGAAACCCTGTCTAGAGGAGAGAGGGAGAGAGAGGGAGAGAGAGAGAGAGAGAGAGAGAGAGAGAGAGAGAGAGAGAGAGAGAGAGAGAGAGAGAGAGGAAGGA